CACCTACTTGAAACAAGCTTGGCAAAGCACAGGGACTGCGGTTCGATCCCCCAGCACCACATGCCTGCCAGCCCCGTCCCCTGGTGGGCTAAGCTGGCCACACACACACACAATAAATAAATGTAATAAATAAATAAATAAGTATCAACAAAGAATCAACAGTGAGTTCGAAGCCAGTCTGTGCTACAATGTGGGACTTTGTCTCAGAAGTTTAAGTTTCAACTGGAGAGGGGGGAGTTTCAAAGGGTCTGCTCTTTGATCTTCAACAATATCCTTAAAAAATTGTCCTAAATTAACCAAAAAAAAAAAAAAAAAAGTGTGCGCGCACACTCGCGGAAGTATCTTATCTCCACACCCACCCGGGCGCAGCTACATGGAGCGGGTCTGCTCCGCGCAGCGACCGTGCACTTCCTCAGCAACACATCCGCTCCCAGCCGCAAGGGGAACCCCAGGCCTGGAGGTCTCTGCCTTCCTCCCTCTATAACTCTCAGAAACAGACGGAGCTGGAAACTCGGCCTTGAGGTGAAGGCCAGAGACTCTAACGGCAGACTTCCTCGCTTTACCTAGACTGTCGCCGGCCAGTAGGAGCCCGGCTCACAGCAGGCCTCCAATAATGCTCCCAGGACAAATACGTATTCAAACATTCCCTTCTTTTGCTGCAAAACTAACTGCCAAGAGGATGCATAGAAATGCAGATGCTCAACCCCCATCGCGGACAGAATAAGAATTAGATGACAAAAAAAAAAAAGAAAGGGATGGGAGGGTGGAGGCACAGGCTGGGAAGATCTGCAAAGATAATCTAGGCGATCGCGTGGGTGGTCATGATTTGGGAAAGGAGTGAACAGCACAAGTGGCAGGGGTACGGCACCTTCGCCTCTCTGTGTTTTCACAGATCAGTCCCCTTTTCCACCCACCAGGAAGGGGGAGGTGTGGAGAGACTTCTAGCAAACTGAGCTCCCAAGGTTCAACCCTGCTTAACATAAAAAAGGATGAGAGTAACCTCAGTCCTGTAGGAGGCTGAGGCCGAAGGATCACAAGTTCAAGACTTGTCTGCAATTTGGAGAAACCCTATCTCAAAATTAAGAAAAGAAAAAAGGGCTGATGATGTAGCTCAGTGCAAAGGTCCTGGGTTCAATACCTAGTATAAAAAAAGATAAAACTGTATCACTGGACTTTGAGAGGCTGGGGATGTAGCTCCATGGTACTGGGCATTGGGCCCAGAACACCTAGTCCTTGGGTTTGATCCCCAGCCCAGCAAGAAAAAAAGGAAGCAACTACTTTGGTTGTTGTTGTTGGTTGTGCCACCACACCTAGCTTAACAAAACAACTACTCTGAATCCTTTTTTCACACACTAGTCTGACTTTGAACGGGTGACAGCTTACCTCCCGTCTCGGCCTTCATTTTTTGGTTAAAATGTTGGTAACAATATATACCTAGGGTCAAGGGGTGGCACACGCCTGTAATCCCAGCACTCGGGAGGTTGAGGCTGGAAGATTGCTGCAAATTCGGGACCAGCCTGGGCTACAAAAATGAGTTCAAAGGGAGCCTGAACTGCACACTGAGACTCAGTCTCAAAAAGACAAATAAATCATGGAGCTGGTTTCTGGGATCCTATCAGATGAGATATAATGAGCGCAATACCCACCCGCACCGGGCGCCCTCCCCGCCGCGCACCCACGCCCACCTCGATCGGGCAACGCCCGCAGTGTGTCCCCGGGCGCTCCCAGCTCGGGCACGACGCACGGCGCCCGCGTCAACCCCGCGGCGGTGGCCGCCTCCCTCTCGCGCGCGATCTTCTGCAACACTCGCGGCACGGGCTGCGGCCGGCGGGGCAACGCCGCCGCGTGCAGACCCAGGAAGCCGAGGAAGTCGCGCTCTTCGAACGCCAGCGCCTGCCCCAGGGCCAGGCTCAGCAAGACGCCGAGCACCCGCACGGGTCGGGGAGGACGCATGGCCGCAGCGCTGAGCCCGGGCCGGCTGCGGAAGGAGGTCGGTGCGGCCGCTCACCCCACCCCTTCTCCCAGGCCATTGGCGGGAAGAGGAGGACACCCCTCCCGTGTTGGGGCACGAACTCGACCCTTCCGCCCACCTGCATTCCCAGCGCTTTGCTTTTCTTTAGTATTCTTTCGTTTCTTCAACTTTCAGACAGAGTCTTGCTGTATTCTCAAGCTGGACTCCAATCTGCAATCCTTCTGCCTCGGCCACCCAGAATGCTGACATTTCAGGCATGCGTCCTATGTCTACTTTCTCTCTTTACTTGCCCTACTCTCCCAAGGAAAGGCAAGGGGGGGGGAATATATATATCAGTACTTGGACATAAACTACAGTACCCTGAGGGTAGTCAGCCCAAGACTGTGAAAAGGAAGCCGAGCTTGGTGGCTAGGCCGATATCTCAGCACTAGGAGGCTGAGGCTGGAGGGTTGCCTCAAATTGAAGGCTAGCCTGTGCTACATAGTGAATGCAAAGCCAATGTGGGCTACATCTGGGACTCTGTCTCAAAGAACAAGAGAGTGGAAAAGATGCATTTATTCATTGAACAGGTATTAAAGCATCGTATATCCAAGACACTGAGATGAATGCTAGGAACGTAGTAGTGAATAATTTCAGTCTTAAATTTCTCTTTCTTTCTTCTTTCTTTCCTTCTTTCTTTCTTTCTTTCTTTCTTTCTTTCTTTCTTTCTTTCTTTCTTTCTTTTTGCAGTACCGGGGATTGAAGTCAGGCTCTTGCGCTTGCCAGGGAAGCACTTATTCTACTGAGCCGTCTCCCTGGCCTCTCAGCCTTAAAATTCTTAGTCAAATACATAGGTTACTGTGTGTGTGTATGTGTGTGTGTGTGTGGTCCTGGGGATCAAACCTAGGACTGTTCATAACTGAGCTACACCTTCTGCCCTTTTTCATTGTTTAATTTTGAGGCAAAGTCTCTCTAAATTACCCAGGCTTATATCAATTTGAGAACCTCCTGCCTCAGCAATAGGGATTAGAGGTGTGTATGACCTCCCCCAGTTTGTCCTTGAATAAAAGTCTTGAGTCAGACTGACTAGGTAATTCTGTTTCTGTTACTTCTTTTTGTATTTAGTACAGGATCTACGGGGCCAACCTGGTCTCACTACACAGATCCGACTCGTAGTGACCCACCTGTGTTCAGCCTCCCAAGCACTGGGATTACAAGTGTGCTCCACCACGCCCAGTCTCAAGGTGGGGCTGGCACAGCTCGCCAGGGATCAAATCCTGGCCGCGGCACTCTGCCTAAGCAGGCACTTAAGTACACTGTGCTATCTGGCCGGCCCTCTGTTTCTGTTATTTACTAGCTGCATGGCACTGTGCACATCACTTAACCTTGCTAAAGTTTTATCTTCTCCGTTGAAAAATAGACTGGCCTAGAGCTGGGTTTGTTGGTGCATGACTCAACCCTAGCTACTCAGGGAGCTGAGGCCGGAGGATCTTACCCAGGCAACTTAATGAGACCATGTCTCCAAGTAAGAATGTGGGAAAGGGTTGAGAATGTAGCTCAGTGCTAGCGCTCTGTGGGTTCAATCCCTAGTAGTACACACTTGTGCAGGCACGTGCACAGCACTGTGACTGCCATGGGAAGTATACATGGCATTCCGAGAGGAGAACCCTTCAGTGCACAAGTCAATATTCACAGTAAGAAAAAAATAAAAAAATAAAAAAATAAACATTTTAAGGGGCCTGGGGGAGATGGCTCAGTAGAATAAGCACTTGCCTGGCAAGCACAAGGGTCTGAGTTCAATCCCCAGTTCTGAAAAAAAAGAAAGAAAGAAAAAATTCACAGTAAGGGATGTAAGGCTGCAGCAACCAGAGTGCATGTGAAAAAAAGATGAACTTTATTGGGAAGTTTATGCATGGTCCATCAGCGAACTTCTGGTTTTAACTTTTATTTATTTGGTTTGGTTTTGTTCAGAGTACTAGAAGAACCAGGCATGGTGGTACACCCCTGTAACCCCAGCATTCTCAAGGCTGAGGCAGGAGGATTGTCGTGAGTTTGAGACCAGCCTGGGCTACAAAGTAAGTTCAAGGCCAATGTGAACTGCATAGTGAGACCCTGTTTCAAAAAAACAGTACTAGAAGATTTTCAAATGCTGCTGAAAAAATTACTTTGTTTATGCTAAAAATAATTTTTGACTATTACAAAAGTTTATTTAACAAAAATTTAATATATGAAAATGTGTATGACCCAATCTTCAGTCAGGGAAAGTCGCACTTGGGGGAGGGGCATGAAGTTTTCTGCTGAGCAGTCATTATTTAAACTGTTCCAAGGCTTCCAACAGGATGATACCATTTCCTTGTATTACCACCATTCCAGTGCTGTTCAGTTGCCCGCTGGTTGCTATCTCCACACATTCATTTATCACGAGATTCATGAAGGGAATCAAATCCTCGCAATATTCCTTGGATATGTCTGCCACCATTCAATTTCAATGATAACTTCTCGTCTCTAAATTTTTTCAGCTTTGGGAGGGTGAGTTTTGCTCATCTTGTCTAGTTGGCGGGCTCAGGGAGCCTTTGAAAGGAATCAACAGCCTCCGACACGCTCCCGCGGTGGGCTCAACGCTGTACATCTCAATTTTCAAGCTTTTAAAGAACAGTTTACTCAGCCCGGTGTGGTAGCGCACACCTGTGCCTGTGGTCCCCACACTGGGCAGCTGAAGTAGGAGGATCACAGCGAGTTCAAGGTCAACTTGGGCTCCACAGTAAGTGCAAGGCCAGCCTGCACTGCACAATGAGCTCCTGTCTCCAGAAGACCCCCTCCTCTTCACCTGGGCTCTCCTGGTCCACACGAGAAGTGTCACTTCCTGCCACGCTGCTCCGAGGCTTATGCAGCATCTCACACCCTGCAGATGCTTCCTCTGCTCCTTTCGGAGGCTTTCCCGTCCCTCACAGCATTACCTAGACATTCATCATTGTTTTCATTTGAATTTAGTGGAGGTGTGGTGGTGCGGGCCTGTCACCCCGGCTCCTGGGAGGCTGAGGCCTAACGACTGCAAATTCAAGCCTGGCTTAGGAATTTAGCAACTTAGAAACTGCCTGACAAATCCACTTTCTTTTTTTTTGTCTTTTTAAGACAGAGTCTCATTATGTGGATCAGGCTGGCCTTAAACTCACTTTGTAACCCAAGGTGGCCTTGAACTCCTAATTAAATAGGAATTTTTTTTTAAAAGGGCTGGGGATATAGCTCAGTGTAAAGGCTCTGGATTCAACCCTCAATTAAAAAAGAAAAAGAAAAAGAAAATCTTGGGCAGGACAAATAGATCAGCAGATTAAAGTGCCTGCAAGCAGACCCAGGGTCCAGGAGTTAGATCCGCGGCCTGCCATGCCAGCCCCGTCCCCCCACCTCCCAGGCATGCTGAGAGGCAACTGAGACTAGGTGTGGTGGCATGCACAGGCAATCCTAGCTCTTGGGAGACTGTAAATAGGTGGATCTACGAGTCCAATCTAGTAGTGAGACCCTGAACACCCTTACCTTAAAAAACAAAAAAATATTACTAAGTACAACTTCATAGTGATCCTCTTGCTTTTAGCCTCCCCCAGTGCTGGAATTACAGGCATGTGCCATCATGCCTGGGGTTGGTAGAACAGAATGAAGGACTGGGGATTGAACCCTGGTCCCTGGGCTTGCCAAAGCAGGCACTTAAGTCTGTTGAGCTATCTTTCCAGCCCTGAAAATCCCTTTTCTTTTTTTTCTCTCTATAATTCAAGCTGCCCTTTGAGACTGGCCTCAAATTCTCTGTGATTCTCCTGGCTCAGCTTCTAAAATGCTTGTGCCAGCATGCCTGGCTTATTTATTTTTTAATTAAATTTCAGAAATTGAAGATGGGGGCCAGGGAGATGGCTCAGTAGAATAAGCGCTACCCTGGCAAGTGCAAGGGCCTGAGTTCAATCCCTGGTTCCGCCAAAAAAAAAGAAACTGAAGATGGAACTTTGTGGTGGAATGCTTGCCTTTAAGCCTCGTGTGTGTGTGTGTGTGTGTGTGTGCGCGCGCGCGCGCGTGCGTGTGCGTGTGAGGGTGCTGGGAATAAGAAGCCAGAGCCTGGCATATGCTAGGCAAGTTTTCTACAACCAAGCTACTTCCCAGTCCTAATGAATAAAACTCTGCACCCAGTGTAAAGATGCAGGCCCGTAACCCCTGCTGGGATGCTGCAGCTTGAGGGTCACAACTTAAGCCCAATCTGGGCAGTGTAGTGATTTAGTGAGAACTTGTCTCAAAACAAAAAGTGAAAGAAAGGGCCAGGATATAGCTGTATGCAAAAGCTTTGGGTTTAGTCACCATACTGGAAAAAAAAAA